GGGGTCAGGGCTCCACCTCAGCGCTGCCATTGTGCCATGGAGTCCCGCAGTTGAAAGCTGGATTCAGTATTTTAGGTGGCTTTAAGGGACCGGATTATCCAGCCGAGTCCTGTTGCTTCTCCCCCCAGATTCTGTCTGACAGCAGCAGCCGGCGTGAGAACTGCCCCATGTCCCATCACTTACTCCCAAGAAGTCTGAGCTGCACCCTGAAATGACCTTAGTACCTGTGTCTCAATAGTGTGAGTTCGTTAAAAAAATTCCCTTTATTAAATCTGTTTTTTCTTTCCACTGTCAAGGACTATTTTCCTAGTTATAGAGAGGCCTCTGACCCCCCAAAAAAAAGGCCCAGAGCAACCCTACATCATGTGATTCTGTGTCTTGTTTTCAAGGCCTCTTTGTGCAGACCAACTCCCATCAACACCCAGAGGGCAGTCAGCTGAGGCGATGGTGTTTACTCATTCACATTTATTCATTCACACAAGTGAAACTACATATAGAAAGTAAAACCATCCAATAAAAATATATTCTGAGTTCTGAACAATTTATACAAGCCATTAAAATTTTCACCTCGCACCTTTAAAACAGATCCTGTATAAGAACAATACTAACTGCTTATTAGCAAGGAGCTTTTCTAGGGGAATCGTGCTCAGGCTCAAGGTACAACTTTCTACAAGAGAGAAGCGCTTACAAGTAATTAATGTTGGTTCTTGAGCGACGGTAGGCATCCTGCGGTAAGGGAGTTACCGTTCCACGAGGAGGGACCTGCGCTGCGGAGAGGGACAGCAGCAACGGTCCAGGCCCGAGCCCTGGTGCTCCACAGCCGCCGGTTCTTCCCGTCAGGGATCGGCACACTCGCCGTCGGGAGCGTTTGAGCCTGGCTTGCCCTCTGCACGAGGAGCTGGGAGCCCATCTCCACGCGTGCACTCGCCAGAACCGTTTCTGAATCTGCCGCTTTCTAGGGAGAAAGACAAACAGCGAGGGGTGAACCGTAGGTCCCGCTGGCCAACAGGCACGTCTTCAAACGGAGCACGTCCGGGTATCAGCGGGTGACCTTCTGGTGAGAAGTACCTCGCTAACCGCAGCTCAGCCTTCTCTTAAGAACCACTCCTGCGTGCCTGACGGGCCGCGGGTGGAGGAGAAAGCCTTCGGAACGCCGCCTCACCTGTCTCAGCAGAGACATAGACCTCCTCCCAGGTATAATCACCCAGGTTCACAGGCTGCTTCAGCCAACCGTCCTCTGCCAACATTGCCAGAGTCATGCGCTGCTCGGGAAGAGGGTGCAAGAGCCCAGCCATGAGATTCGTGAGACCTGGGAAGAAACAGCAGTAAGAGGAAGGGCTCAGGCTGGATTTTAGGCATGCTAAGAATGCAAGATATGGTTTATATCCAAAGAATGCAGATTTTTTGATTACAGATCCTCCCCGTTAATCCTTTGTGCAGTACTGCTCTACCACAGCCTTAGTCACACGTGCTTGGCTCTGGGAAGGCCCCCGAGATTTCCAGGTTGTGAAAACAGAGAACGGAGCGCAGAGTTACAACACCGAGGAGGGCAGAAGCAGAAACAAATGCCACAGAGGCAACCCTGACTCACTGTTTCCCAGCCCAGCCTTGTCCCACAGTCACCCCACGTTCGATCTGCGACTAAAGGGGCGTTCAGGGAAAGCTTCCAGAATTTACCAGTCAGCACCCTGAAGCCAAATAACCACAGTGCTCCTAAGGACCCCAGAGAACTTGTTGGTGAAGATTTCTTTAGCAATTCGTTTTCTTTACCCCCAACAGAAAAAAAGGCCAATGTATTTCTCCTGTGAGGTCAAGCCATACAATTCATTGGGAAATTATAAATTAACACATTATCATCCAACCCAAAAGTGACATTGCGTTGATCGGCAATAGTTCAAGTGAGGTAAAACTTGCGTTACAGTTACGTGAGTGCCATGTTACTGATCTTAAAGTCATCCGCTAGAGTGACCTCTCCCATCAGGCACTATTTATTCTGGTTTTCTCAGGTATAAACCTCACTGAAGCTTGACAAGCTGATAGGTTGAGTCATAATAAATAGGAGGCCTGGAATTTGAAACGAATAAAATAGAGGGCAGATAGCTGTATTCATCGTGGGCATGAAGAACTGCAGAACTTACCTGAAAAGGATACCACTGATACCTCTGCTTCAGTAAGCAGCTTTTAAAATCATTGCAGAGCACATTTGGAAGCATTTTTCCAGTCTTCCCCTTAATTTCAGGAGAAGAAATACTGCTCATACTTTCTCTGCTCCTTTAGAAAAGCAAAATAGGAAATATCACCTTTTGAGACATGCCAAGGAGGATTCAGGACAGCTGCCATGGCCTCCTCCAGCTCACAGAAGGGATTCTCTCCGAATACCAGTGTATAAAGGGTGACACCAAGTGACCACATCTCCAGCTCAGGGCCGTGGTACCTAGGCGGAGATAAAACATGCCCAAACTCAGATTGCAAATACATAATTGTGTGTGAAAGACAGTAAAAAGAAAAAAAGGCAGTCGATAGCCGTTGTTTCCAATTTTTATTTTAACATAGGAAGTTTGTGAGAATTCTAATCAGGTTCTCACATGTGTTTTTTAGAAGTCTGTATTATCCTTCTCCATGAAAAGAAAACCAAGCAAAGAACGGCCAACCAGTTTGCGTGGATGAGCATGTATAACCTGCGCTCAGACTTCCATATGTGTAAGCTGGTGACCAGAGAACTTCAGCCTCCTCCTCCTTCACCGTGAGCCAAAACTATCAAGTAAATATTTCGACGGAAAATCAGCCACTTCACTGGAATCCCATTTACCTCCTCCCATCCCTTTCCAAGTTATTTGGAAATAAGTATTAACTCTCTAGATCCCATCTGAGAAAAAGGGACAGTTTCTTCACTCAATAACAGGCTGAATTCCCAGGGCACCACTGCTTCATCCTCCATCTCATTCCCAGCAGGGATTGCCTCTCCTCCTTGCACTGCTTCTCCCCCCGCCCCCATTCCCCATTTAGAGGAGCTGCCTGAAGGTCCCATGAAAACAGCTGTGAAATGAGAGCGAGACAACCCACTTGCACATACAATTACTGTTTACCGCCTTGCGAAGGTAAGGCTTCCCTCCAGGAGTGGGTGTGAGACTGCCAGCCTGCAGGTAAAGACTGCTCAGAGAAGGAGAGAGTAGAGAAGAGACAGCTAAGATTTGGGCAGCACTTCCAAGATGGCAGCAAGGGAAGAATCCTTGAGTCCAGAGGAGCACAAAAATCCAACAGGTTGATGAACAAGGATCAAACTGCAAAAATTCATACAGGGAAGCAAGTGGGAAGGAAGGGAACAGACGAGAGGAGAGTGGGAGTAGCACAAAACACAGACACGGCAACGGGCAGACGCTGTACAGCAGGACTCGTTTATGCCACCTCTCTAAAAGAGCAGCTTTTGGAAGATAGGCGTCAGCATGTTCATACGTAGGTATGAAGAGAAGGTTAGCAAGCTGAGGTACGTAGTAGGAAAGATCAAGGAAAAAGGACTCATTCAAGTCACCACACAACTCATCCAGACTCTCCTACCAGGCTGGAAATTAAAATCATAGGCTTGTTCTCGAACTCAGCTCTGCAGTAGGACAGACATTAGTACAAGACTTTGCAAAACATCTGACCAGAATCAGAAAGCCTATCAACAGACTGAGTCAGAAACAACTTTGTATGTATTCAAGCCTTTACAAATAATTTCTGTCACTGCAGCGCCCTACTTCATATGCATTCAAACCTTTACAAGTAATTTCTGCCACTGCAGCGCCCTAAATCTCACTGCAGTTTTCTGTAGTTAGATATTCTGGTAGAGTACCAATGGCAAAGCAGCTTGGCTTCTCTATCCCAGCCCTGCATGCACATTTTTTTTGGTGTGACAGACACAAAAATTACTTTTCAGAGGGTGACATACGGTTTGCCAGACAGCACTTCTGGTGAGCAGTATTCAATTGTCCCACAGAAGGTATAAAACAGTTTGCCGGGTTCCAGGTAGGCAGCTGAACCGAAGTCCACTAATTTAATTGTGAAATCTTCAGCAATGACAATGTTTTCATCCTTGATGTCTCTGTGAAGGATGTTTCTACAGTGGAGATACCCAACAGCTGATACAAGCTGAAAGAGGAGGAAAGAACTGGGTGTTACTACACAGAGGTCTCCTTCTGGATAATCAACGTGGCATCACAGAGTTCCGATAGCCGCACTTTGGCTTGTTTTGACAGTATATAAACAAGATACAGATCCTAATTTAGGTAACTGGAAAGGAACTCAGGCATGCCTGTCACCAGAGCTGCAGTGGGTGTTACAATGCTCTTGGGAGAGAGACTTAAAAAGGCCTTTGCTCGCTTTCCTCTCACAAATCTGCGGGAAGATGGCATGCCATAGTCACGATGTGCTTGTGGTTTTTTTTGGTTACAAGCATCAGAGCTTACTGTTACAATCTTGCAGGTTACTCTATTTTTATCCCAGCTTCATTTGGAGGGTCCTCTGATTTCCTAAGAAGGATATTACTGTGTGCCTCCAATACTGCAGGATGACAAAGCATTTAAGAGTGAAGTTTGGTATAAATAATACAGTCACTCCTAAATTCCGTTCTTCTTTCTGCACGATTCATGCTATAGTGCCGTAATTAAGAATAGCATCAGAATTATATCACCTTGGAGACAATTGTGATCCCTATCACGACACATGTGAGCAAGAAAAGCAGATGGGTGAGGGAGAAAAGTTTCTATTTATAACACAAAGCTCCCTCTGCAGAGAAATACTGTACAGGTCTGAAGTAACAAAGCACCCCTATGAACTCAAGGTTGGTTTAGGAAAAGGGCTTATTCGTCAGATGTCTAAAGAGACTGCAGACTGCAATTTTTGACTGTACGCTGCACGGCAGACACAGAGAAGGTGCATCACTTTGACTTCCATCAGGACCCCAGGCGAGGGGAGTGTGGATGCAGCGGTGGGTTATCACATGCAAAGTAATTCTTGCATACCTTAGAGCAAGGAATTCACTCTAAAACACAAGAGCGGGAATTACTTGGGGACCGCTGTTGCAGTTAACTCAATGAACAAAGGACAATTCAGCTCTCAGGCAAGCTCCTGACTCACAGTAAACTCCCTTGAGTTATTTTGTGTTATGCCACGTTAAAATCCAAGATCATTTCTTGATTTAAAACTCCTTAAAAAAGAGGAGAGCCCTTTACCCCCATTACCAATCTAAAACATGCATTGATCTAAGTGAAAGTGTGGCTTTTAGCGCCCTTTCCTCCTCCCACAGAGGAGACGTGACTGCTACAGGAACGGGCATCCTGACGACGGCAGGGTGTGCTGCTATAATCACAGCCAAGAGGCAATGGCTCTATAGGAAACCCTCATATGAAGCAAAGTCCTGTAAAGGTTTCTTTGTTACAGGTTTCTAAGTAAACCTTAAAAAGGTTTCTGCAGGTTCAGTTAGCTAGAAATCAGCCCTACAGAATAATGAAGAAAAATTCTGCAGGTATTGAGCATGACTCTGATTCAGCATGCCTGCTGATTAGCCAGTAGTTCTGTTCAGGGGAATAGGGTCCTGGTTCTTATATTACCCAAATCGTACCTGCGTGTAGCAGCTGTAGGTTCCCAGCTCTCACCTGTCTGAATATATAGCTCGCTAACGGCTCATCCAAGTTGGGCCGATTGTCAATGAACGTAAAGAGATCCAGACCAGATCCATGCTTCTCCATCACCAGCTGGAAGAAGCGATCATTTTCAAATACATCCAGCACCTATAAATAACAGACTTTTTTAATTATGTCCTTCATCCTCAAATTGCCTTTTTTTTTAAAGAAAAAAAACTAAAAAACAAACAACAAACACTGCTCTCCTCTTGGAGATTTAATCAACGTATATTATAATCTTTGAAGTCTAATTTCACTGGGGACAAATGTTTCTTGAAAAGAGAGCATACTTAAAATTGAGAGCAGAATTAAAACCGAGCTGAATTCTCTCTCTGGAAGGAAAAAAGAAAAACAAACCACAAAACCAAAACAAAAACGAAGAACCCCAAAACAAAGAAAAGGACTCAAGACATATATCCAGATTATTTACTGAACTAGTACATGTTCAGATGTAATATCACACTTCCAAGATATGCATCCTGTCACCTTGAAATAATGTACAGACTTTTTTTTTTTTCTGTTAAGGGTCACTCCTCCAGATCTAGGCTTACATCAATTGTTGGGGGTAAAAGTGTCGAAGGAAGCGATAGTCTGCTGTGGCATACCCTCCAATACAAAGCAGGATAGGTAGGTTCCTTTCTTTCCTCAAAAGGCAGATTTAATACAGGACACTTCCTCAGTCCTGAAGAGGAACACGAGACACCAAGTATTCAAGGGAACCACCTGATGCAGTTCAAACTGCCTTCACTCCGAGTCCACTGTACCTTAATGATACTGGGGTGCTGCAGCTTCAACAGGATTGCAATTTCTTGAGTAACTCTCCCCAGATCAGGATCATCTACCCAGCAGTCCTCCAGCACCCTCTCCTTCCAGATGAACTTGATGACAACCTACACAGACAACAGCATTCAGCATCACCTGCAAAAGTATGGCTTTAAGTGTTTGGTAAGTTAATTTCCAGGAAAAATGTTAGTGAATCATATTACTAGAAGAACAGAAGTAACCTAATGTACACTGCTTATAGTATCTTTAAGCATATTTAAACTAATTTAGTCCTAGAAGCCAAATGATGCACAGAAATGGAATATATTTATTTTCTTTTTGCTGATGCTCTGAATTCCAAAGGCTTTGACAGGCCAGCTCTCTTATCAACCCAATTAGAGCAGTGGTGACTTCTGGCATAGGTGCAACATGGAGGGAAATGAGCACTTAATGTCCATGCAGAGAAACACCAGAGCTTGCCTCTCAACATCCAAAATAATTCTGCTGATAAAGAGGAGGGTCCCATAACCTCAACATGCCAACTCCACATTCTCGAGTCGTGGCACAATGAAGACTTTGAAGTTTGTCATTCTCTTTAGTAACGGAAGACTAAAACCTGTAATTCTATTAGGCTTAATGTATGCTTCTTTCAACAGGTTAAATTAGCTATATGGTCAGTCTCATTCTGTGCCTGTTGTCTCAGGTAACATTCGTACACTGCATCAACGCAAAGATTTTGCTGTCCTGTTTCCATGAGGTTAGCGATTTCAGATTTCTGTTTAAACTGTTTAAAATACCAAATAGCAGCTTTTAGTCAGGTAGTGTTGACTGAATATGAACACTCTAACCTTTCAGTTTTCATCCTAAATAATTATTGCAATGAGATCTAAAAGAAATAGTTAACCTCCTGGTGATCTTTCTTGCTCCTGGCAGTCCAGACAAAGCCAAAAGATCCTTTGCCAATAAGACGAAGAGTGTTGTAATTTTTTGCATATTCTCCCTCACATGCCTTTAATCCTTCAAGCTCTTCAGCTCTTTGGGAATTCTCAAATAGTGAAGTTAATCTGATGGCCTAGGCACAGATGAAAAAAAAAAATATAGCAAGAAAAAAAAAAAAAAGAGCAAGCCACAGAATCATGTTTATAAAATTAAGTAAATACTGAAAAGAAAGTACATATCTGCAAGAATAGCCAAGAGGAGTGATCTTTGTTTTTGATAGCAAGAACTGTATGTTGATGTGACCATCACCATACCAGACAAGTTAAGTCAGCAGTCAGCTCTTGGCAGCTACCAATAATGCTTAATTCAGAGAAAGGTAAAGAAAACAGAAGCATATGCACCTTCGATGCTCACACAAAATTCCCTATGCAAGTAGGAAAACAAATTAATTGTAGTCTATCACCAAATGACAGTTTTATTTGATGAGTAAAAAGTAGGTTACTTTCAATGTTGTAATTTCTCCAGGTAAGTGTATTCTACACGGACAGAACTAAAAAGGTGCTGCTTTAAGCCCTGTCTATAAATCTGGCAATTTCTATTTGCCTCAGTAACCTAAAAAGAATTAGTATATAATCACTAGTGTCTACCAAACTTTCTGGTAAGACAGCATTTTCATTCTGTAGGTTGGCCTCTTAGCAGACATGAAGAGCAAACAAGTTCAAGGCATACCCTCTGAAATTTTAACACCCCAGTAAAGACACGTTGCATGCCTTCCTGCCAAGCCCTGCAATGCTGCCTGAGAAATTAAACACAAAGGAAGTTTTTCTTGTTCTGAGGGTAGGACTTGGGGTTGTCTCAGCAATTATTAGGTTTCTCCACCAAAGATGGCATCTAAAATGCACGATAAGGGAACATCTTTATGACACACACAGTATTTCGTACTGAGAGGAAACACAACAAATCTCACGGGGATGTTTGTTTCCAATAGTGAAATTTGGAGTTATACATGAAATGATCAGAACTGCTTATATTTTGACACATATGTAGATGTACACGGAAGGCAATTTTCTAAAAGGGAAACAAGAGCCACCTTATTACTCGGGTCTCAAAGGTCTCAAAAAAAATATCCCAAATAGCCAGTTTTGCCCACAGCCAAGCTTTTCACTCAAATATCTACTTCATCACCCAGCTCACTGATTAAAAGGTGCAGCAGGGGAGGGAAACTACAGGTCTAATCTGCAGCACATTTCAATGAACAGCAGCTGCTTACAGTCTCCTGTAGTTTGGAACTGTCACTGCTATACATGTTACACATGTGATATCTAAATATGTCTGTACTTCTCTGTTAAGGTCATCATAAAATCCAGCTACGTAAAGATCTAGGGAATGCATGCATTTATTCAAGGGATCTAGAAGATCACCATTACCTATTTCAATTGATCAAAGATGCTATTTTCCTCTACAGCCTTGGTCAAAGTACGGTCAGTTTTACATCCCACTACTAACCAAAAAAGCACCTGGTGATCTGTGCCTACTGTTCAGCTACGCGGCGTTAGCTTTCTGTACCCATCCCAAATGCAGCATCTCAGGAGGCCGCTAAAAACTGCACTTTTCTTTTGTTGACACTAGTCAGTCAATGAAAGTCTTCAGCCTAGTATTTCCTTTTTTAGTAATGTTGTGTCATTGGTGCCAGTGTGATTACATTGATTTAAAAATTAATCTTACCACACTGGTGCAAACTTCTATTGTAAATGTACTTGAACCAACCTAAGAACAAATTTAAAATGAGGTGCTTTCACTGTTCAGACTGGAAAGGTAACTACACTAAGCCAAACACACAGTACCAGAAATGTTACAAAGTAGCAATCTGAAGCAGTTCTTTTGACAAAAAATAGGGAAACAAAGAAACAGCAACATCCACTCACCACCTCATGACATTATTTTCATTTGAAAAAAACCTTTTTGACTTCAGCTTAACAGTCAAATCAGGAGTGAAATGCTCAATATTATACAATGGTAGGATTTCTTACTTCTCCAAGACTATTTGTAGAAAGATCAGCAATAGATTGGGCAGAGCTTGCTAGACTGGAGAGCAAAAGCTGAGTCTTTGCTCTGGCTTCCTTCTGGCTCTGTAGAAGGTCTTTCACCACCCAGACACAGAAGAGTATGGCAGGATCCTGCAGTTCTACACGTTTCACTTCAAAGAGTACACCTGTAGAAACAGGCGAGGAAGTCAAAATGGTAGAAGGAAACTTTGGCATTGAATGAGACCACAGGCATTTGAGGACAAAATTCTGAGCTCTTAACAAAGTGAATTACTCCATGATTTGTTTGAGGAACACCTACACGGTAAGGAATCATCGGAGGGGCTGACAACAGCACAGCTATTCTGGAGGTACTTGGCAGCCACCTCTATAGTTCCCACTCCGTGGCAGAAACTTTTGTCAGTGTCCAATTGCAATTATTAATTTCACTTCATTATTTTAAATTACCTAAAAATGAGGATTTTATACAACAAGACACTGAATCCAGCTGAAGGAGTGAACATATTCCATTACACAACTTAAATACAAGTTTTACAATGAAATATTTTCTGTTCAGAAAAAGTTATCAGGTTCGAATCTTTTAATTGTGTTTTAAGAATATTTCTGACTATTCAGTCTCGATTAATTTCTTAGTAACTTTGTATTTTATACCACCTGCTTTTCTAATACTCTCTGAGTAGACTTAAATACCATTTTTTCTTCTAGATGCTAGAGCTTCTTCCTTCCTCTCCACTGTGAGCTTCTAACCAGAACTGTCTGCCTTCTGCAAAAAAGTGGCTGAAAAAGGACACCCCGATAAGAGTTTTGGTAAGGGGAGGAATAGGTTTAACTTACTAAATTGTGAACCATCTCTGTGACAGCAATTCCCAGTGTAGCTGCCTTCCAGAATCTCCAAGGTCAAAGGAGCTGCTGGATTCAGCTTTCCTTCTTCTTTTACTGGGGTCGATGTAACTTTTATCTCCATATTTTGCTGCTCATGCAACTGAGGGTCTTCTTCAGGACTACCTTTACTTTCCAGTGGGTTTCTGCTGATGTCGTCCCCCACAGTCTCTGCAAGAGTTTCAGGCTTCTCAAGAAATGCTTTGGAGGATTCTTCAGAGTTTTCTAAATGCCTTTGGGAGGCCAGCCACCCAGAACCATCTTCTACAGCAACACCATTCAACAGCTGTTTTTTCTGCCCTGTTGAAAAGGCAGTGTTTTTCTGAGTTAACGTATTGCCTCCAGCTGAGTCCACTGCACTAGAGGAGGATGCTCCTACAAGAGCTGCAGTAATACCAAAACAATCATCGGAGTTCCCCTTGACGCCAATATTCAGACCCAGTACCTCAAGACCAGAGCAAATACAGTTCAGCTCAGTGTCTGATTCTTTAACACCTTCAGAGGTTGTGGCAACTCCTGGTGCAGAAGCACTGCAACCCGTTGTATTTCCTGAGCAAACATCAGAGATAGTATTTCTTCCATTTGCAAAGAAGGATGAAGCATCATCTAGCAGGCAGTTTTCAATGACAATGTGCTCAAGGCTGGAATGTTTTGCATCACACATCAAGTTTGTTTTTGACCACTGCCCTGTAACCATGTGGCTTTGAAAGTCTTGTCTGCAGTCTGGTGTTGTCCCAGACCACGGCTCATCTATTGTTAGTGTTCCAAGTGAGTAACAACTAACATCAGAAGGCGGCTTAATTGGGCCATAGGATGCGGTACCCAGATTGTCTTCTAGCCTAGAAGAAACAGGCAACCAGGCAACATTTACTGAAGCAGTTTGTCCCCAGGCACCAGTGGAGTGCTGATGCTTCAGCATTTCATATGGTGACCTACAGATCTGCTGACAATTTACTTCCTTGAGGTCTTGATGATGAACTTGTAACTGGTTAGGCAAGGTACTCGTCTCACTTACGTATCGAGTCTCAGATGCACCAGGTACTGCACTATCACTGCTTCTTACTGGGATCTTCGTGTTCTGACCTAAATCTAACTGTTCTGAATCAGATGATGTGGGAGAGAGCCTTGCAGAGAGCATCTTTTGAGAATTATTCAATCCTGCTCTTTCCACTGTTCTATACTGTTCCACTGCTCTGATTCTCTCAAGCCAGGTTTCAGGGTGAGGCTCTGTATGGTGGGCTGACAGCCCGTCAGTAACAACGCTGTCTTCACTGCAAGGATTCAAAGTTATTAGTGATATCATGATGACAAAAGAATGAGAAACCCATCATACTCTATACTACCCACTCTTCCATCACTACGGTCACTATTTAAAACCTGCACCGATTGGTTTATTTTTAAGTTTAAAAGAAAAAGGCAGAAAGCTGTTGCCACAGGCATCCAAAATCCTAACAAATTCCACCTTGACCAAAGAAGAGCAGGTATATTTGAATGG